TTACAGTTTTTTTCAATTGCTTACACACTAAAATTAAAACTTTCCCACAATTACCAAAACCTTACACTCAAGGAGCAAAACACCGGCCTAGGTTTGCACAACTGTAAGCACATTGTCAGCTTCCCACTTTTTGCAAAACATTACACACAGTGATTTGCAAAACACTAAACACACTTGTATGCATTTGACACAGAAATTTATCATGATGTCATTTCCTTGCAATTTCAAAGCAAAGGCTTTCAAATGAACACACCCATGAACCAATTGGTTAAACACAGCCACCAGGTGTGCACACACACTGGTGCTTAATTGTAGACACACCAATCAGGTTTAAGCACTATAAGAAGGCAACAGGTAAGTTCACCTGTCTTCAACAAAAATGGACGGTGTCAGAGGAAGAGGGAGAGTGCGGATGAGAGGGGGAATCCGGAGACAACAAGGAAGAGGAAGAGGAAGAGGGAGAGGAAGACCTGGAGGAGGGGTAGGACATGCACAAAGAAGAAGACAACCAAATCTGTGTAACGAAATTCGCTTTTGGAATGCTACAATTGTGGACCATGTAATAAACCACGGACTAACACTGAGGGAGGCTGGACTGAGAGTACAGCCTAACCTAAGCAGGTACACGGTGGCATCAATAGTTCGGACATTTCGTCAAGAGCACAGGTGAGAAACTTATCTTCTGTCAACAGAAAATCCATAGCTTACTGCATGTACTATATCAACAGTTTTGGTATCTATTCGTGTATCATTTTACAGTAAGCTACATGTATTTTGTTTGGCCAACATAGGATTGAACGTCGAGAACACCAAGGAGGGAGGGGCCCCATATTCACACAGGAGCAAGAGAGAGAGATCAGAAACCTCGTTTTGGCCAATAATGCAATCAGACTAGAGACATTCAAGCCCATATTGTCAATGATCACCCAATTTTCAATAATGTCCATCAGGTCTCTCTGTCAACAATAGCCCGTATCCTTAAAAAACATCAAGTTCTGATGAAACAACTGTATAAAGTGCCATTTGAAAGAAATTCAGACAGGGCGAAAGTCCTGCGAAGTGAATATGTGATGGTACGGTTTGTTCCCTGACTGTAGTATTGTGTACTGCACACATAACCTTTTTACTGTACATGTAATTTTACTGTATAGCAGACCTACCAAAGGGACCAGATGCAATACATTGTCGTCTGGGACAGTGTAGCTTTCCATCATTCTGCTTTGGTCCAAAACTGGTTTCATCAACACACACAATTTACAGTTCAATACCTTCCACCATACTCCCCCTTCCTAAACCCCATCGAGGAGTTCTTCTCAGCATGGAGGTGGAAGGTTTATGATCTCGGGCCCTATGTCCAGATGGCTCTCATTCAAGCCATGGAGGAATGGATTCGTCACTCCAAAAGATTCTTCCCACGTTGCCTTGCAAATGAAAATATAGCCTGTGATGTTGACGAGGCCCTGTGGCTAGATCCAGCTAGGCGGAGAGATGTTTAGGTTTTTATTTTTATTTTTTTATTCGGTACTGAACTGGATATGTAATTTATGTTACAGTATTACTGTAAGCTTACAGTACAATGGTACCTTCAGTAATACTGTATGAAAACTGGAAAATGTTTTGTTATGAATGTTTTGTTGAAATGAATGGTATTGACTGACTTGAGTACATGAAAAGAAATAAATATTTTCATTAGTCTGCACAATTGGTGTCGTGGTGTTGGTGAATTTATTTTTACACTTTCTCTGTGTAAATGGTAAAAGTGTTTTAGGTTGAGCACAGGAGTGTTTAACTGATTCAAACAGAATCAGACCATATGATGGTTGTGTTTATGTTATGACAACAAAATAAGGTTTTTATAAGACATTGTATAGTTTTGACAAAAGTGTTCCATTTTGCAAATTATCTGAGGTGTTGTGCTACTTTGGTGTAGTGTTGTGCTAATTGTGTGAAGGGGTTTGAAAAACCGGGCCCTGTTTTCAAAATTGTGCTTAAGCAATTGAAAAAAACTGTAAACAAACATGATCAAAAAAAAAAAAAAAAGGCAATTGGCTATTTAACTTAAAGGCCAGAGTTTTATTCCTACTTTCACAAGATTAAGCATTATGCTTTCTCTCATTGAGTTTCCTTTCATTAGTTCTGTCTCTGAAATGAAAGGACCAGCATATTTTATGTTTTGGATGCTGGTCATCAGCATTGGATGCTGGTGCTCTTTTGTCTCAGCCAAGCTTCTTAACCATCATAACCAACAAGACTACCTTGATTAACCAGAAATACAATTCTAGTCTATCCATAGACCAGCCAAACCAGCACTAACCAGCAATGAGAATTCTTTCTAGTTTTATATGGTCTAAAAAGCAGGGGCACTGTAAACATATTATTGGTCTATTCTGTAATGATTGTAACGAAAGTTTGTTGTTTTCAATAGAGAAAATATGAATGAGGGATGACCACAAAATAAGCAGAAGTGATAATGGGGCCAGGCACCAAACTGGGTCATATTAGTCAATCTCAATATGACTTGCATTTCATCATAATTAGGCTCACAATGAGGGGGAAATTGACTCGGTTAATGTTTGAATAACTCTTTTTCTTCAGTGAAATATGATCGATCCAATGTTCAGCTCCTTTTAAAATAGATAAATGCATGTCAATGTGTATTTGAGAATGTGTTCAATATACATAAATTTCTGGAGTCTTTGGAGGTTTTTCCAAAACCATTCTTATTATAGGCAACAAGAGAAGTAGTGTTATTTTAGTATTATTTATATGCTATTTTATTATTTTGAATGAGATTTTATTTTATATTTTCAGTGTTTGATTTTTTATTTTTTATTTATAGTAACTTTTGTCATGTTTTTATTTTTATATGTATATTTAGCTTTATTGTTATTTCAGTTTGACTTCAGATTATTTTATTTTAGTTAGTTTCCAAGGCAACATTTGTTATATCCATTTGGTTTTCATCTAATATTTATGTTTTATTTTATTTCAGCATTATTTCAATTAATGAAAATTATTTTAGTTTCAGTTTTAAGTAAGGCTGTAGAGAAGAACACCTTTCAGAGGTCTTCAAGGTCTTCACCGTAGTTGTAAACCAATATTTTAGTTGTGTTGTGTATATGGTAAATTGTTGTTAAATGGGTTGTTTGTGGTGTTCAGTGTGTGATGGTATAGGCACCGGCAGTCTTCAAACAGCTCAAACTGTAGATTCCAGCAACATTGATAAGTTTGTCAATTGCACCAAGATCAATGGCAACCTCATCTTCCTCATCACAGGCATCAAAGGGTGAGTCCAGTCTATTTATCTACTGTATGCATGGCCTATAGATCCTTCAGACTTAAAGCTTTGTCTGCACTTTTAAAGAGCCTTTTTCACACTAAAGTTCAAAGATTGTCAATTTTCCCTAAATACAGTGGCATGCGAACATTTGGGAACCCCTTGCAGAATCTGTAAAAATGTGAATGATTTTAACAAAATAAGAGAGATCATACAAAATACATGTTATTTTTTATTTAGTGCTGTCCTGAGTAAGATATATACACAAGAAAAAAAAAAGCATATTAAAACAGCCCCATTCAAAAGTTTGGGAACCCTTGGTTCTTAATACTGTGTGTAGTTACCTGGATGATGAAAAGGTTCAAACATTCACTGATGCTGGGGAAGCATGACCTGATCATCAGGTTCCTTAGGGGGGCGAGAAGGCTAAATCCTCGACGGCCCCCCTCTATACCCTTTTGGGACCTGTCTCTAGTGCTCAGAGCACTACAGCAGGACCCATTTGAGCCTTTGCAGACAGTCGAGCTGAAGTTTCTATCAATGAAAACTCTGCTTCTGCTTGCATTGGCCTCCATCAAGAAGGTAGGGGACCTGCACGCATTTTCGGTTGACGATTCGGACGCTCTGCCACGTCTGGCTGCCGAGGGGACGGAGGAGCTCGACAGGGTCTACGATATGGACTCTCTGGAGTGGTTTTAGCAAGCCGACCCGAAGCCGGGGCCTCTCATTGCTTCTACCCGTTTGAGTTGAGAACACAGGGGGATACCGGCTCCACACGAAGGCTATAGAATCTAGTGAACGTGTTGGGGGTCGCCCAGCCCGCAGCTCTACAAATATCTGCCAGCGAGGCACCACGAGCCAGCACCCAGGAGGATGTAACACTTCTAGTAGAGTGAGCTCGCAACCTGAACGGGCAGGGCACACCCTGTGCCTGATACGGCAGGGTGATGGCGTCCATTATCGATGATCAGGTCATGCTTCCCCACTGACTTCCCTTCCATGGGGTCGTGGTTGGCAGCAATCGCAGCCACATAGACTTTAAGGGTGGAGGGAGACAGCCTTCGCTCCAACCCCTGCTGCAGAAAGGACAGCACGACCCTGATCAGACATTTCTGGGGGTCTTCTCAGTGAGAAGAGCACCATTCGACGAACAGGTTCCACTTCAAGGCGTGAGCGTGTCTCGTAGACGGTGCTCTCGCCGAAGTGATGGTGTCAACACTTGCGAAGGCCCCGCAGCAAGCTGTGTGCCAATGTGTCCGTGCCGAGTGTTCCCTCGGTCAGGGAGTAGAACAACTGGCAGTGAGAGGTTTCTGGAGAGGCAAACAGGTCTACCTGAGTGGCTCCGAAACGACTCCAAATCAGCTGGACCGTCTGGGGATGGAGTCTCCATTCTCCCGGGAGCGCAGCTCGTGACAGCTCGTTGGCTGCCCAGCTGTGCAGACCAGGAATGTGAATGGCACGAAGCGACCTCAGATGCTTCTGACTCCAGAGGAGGAGGTGACGGGCAAGTTGCGACATGCGACGGCAGCGTAGACCAGGGGTTTTCCACCTTTTAGGACATGCGCCCCTCCAAGTTTGTCTAATTTCACTCGCGCCCCCCCGCACCGAATTACTTTATTAACATTAACATAAAAGCAAATATCCATTAAAGTTATTAAAGCAACAAAAAATGTTTCTTTTGCTCTTTTTGATTAACATTATTTACATAAGAAATGCACGGATCCGTTACATTTGATATTTTCTTTACTTTTTACGTTCACTTAAAACAACCGACTGTGCTTACAAGGATACTTGTCAAGACAGCCATTGGTATTCACCTGCTGTCTGAGAAGTCTATCTGTTTGTGCACTTCAGGTGTGTGAGTGGTGCACATAGAAACGCTCTATCACAGTGCGTGAGTACCGCATTGAGATGTCTTGGGCTTAAATAGCTTAAAATTACATTAATGTTTAAACTGACAAGACTTAAAACACGTGAGAATGAAAAACTTTCTCGAGGAAGCAGCACTGGCCTGATCGTTTTGGGGGACTAAGGTGACAGATAGGGGGGCTGAAACCCACCTAAAAAGGGTTTAGAACCGCCCCTGGTATAGCGTGCGTAATAATACTGAAACTTAAATATATAACCAGTTTACCTGATTGAATGTGATGGCTGAGCCTGTTTCTGCGATAACAACATGCCAGTCTGTGGTTGGATTTCCGACACGGCTAATCGTAAATCATCTTACACTGTCAATAAGCGTGACCAGGGTTGCCAGGTTTTCACAACAAAACCCGCCTAATTGCTACTCAAAACTAGCTCAAAACTACAAAACGCGGCAACAGTGTTAAAGTAGCCCAATTCTTGACCTACACTGAGCATGACTGATACTCGAGCCAACTCTGCTCTAACTGTCGACTAGCAGTGGGAGTCAGATTGCCCCCTAGTGGATGGCTAAAGATTTGTTAACTCATATTCATAAATCCTCAAGGGAACGTCTCTGAATTAACTGCGCACCCCACAGGTTGAAAACCCCTGGCGTAGACCACCTTGTCGGTTGATGTACGCAACGGTCGCAGTGTTGTCCGTGCGGACCAGCACGCGCTTGCCTCATAAGCACATCTTGAGACGGCTCAAGGCTAAGGCTAGGCGTACTGCCAGCAACTCTAGGCAATAGATGCGCCAGTGCAGTTGAGGGCCCATCCAAACCCCCGACACTGCAAGCCCGTTGAACGTGGCCCCCCAGCCGGTGGTGGTGGCATCTGTGTAAACCACTGCATGCCTGGAGACCTGTCCCAGGGGCACTCCTGCCCGGAGAAACGAAGGCGCGAGCGCTCGGAGCGCGAGATCAGTTGCGGTTCGGCGCTTTTTTCGAACTTCTGGATCGTGATCACCCTTGTGCAGGTCCCTCAGTGCTTTAGCCTGAAGAACCTGCAGTAATGCCGTAGCATGTAAGGCGGAGGCAGCTTCTCCACAGGCCGTATAAGCATCGCCGGACAGACCAGACGAGTACCTACAGACCTGGGAGGGGAGGCCCGGTTCGCCCTGGCGGGTGGAGGCGGTATTAGGACACAACTGCATCTCAACTGACCGCTCCACCGGTGGGACCTCCGTATACCCCCTAGCTGCACCACCGTCGAGAGTGGTGAGGGAGGAGGAGTTAGCAGATTGGTATCCGGCAGAAAAAGGTGCCATCCACAACCTGGTAAGGCCCTCATGCACCTCCGGGAAGAATGGCACCGGGGCGGTGCGCGGACCACCCCGAAGAACCAATCATCCAACCTTGAGGGCTTGGGACACGGTGGAGGTCTCCACTCGAGCCCTACCCTCACAGCGGCCCGGGAAAGCATAGCCGTTATTTCCGGATCAGATTCAGGCATTGCTGCAGTCCCAGAGGGCAGCAGCGCAGCCGAATCCTCCTCTCCAGAAAGCTCCGGATCAACCTCCGATGC